ATCTATCTATCTATCTATCTATCTATCTATCTATCTATCTATCTATCTATCTATCCATCTTAAAATTTGTTCAAAGTAGTAGCACCATCGTAAATGCGAGGTGCTTCTGATAGGGCAATTCGAAAACCTGTTTTTATTTCGTCGAAAGCGTCATCTGGGTGGCTTTCAAATATTGAAACCAGCTCATCTTTTATTACCGTGATTACATTCCCAAATCTTTTTTCAACAACATCTTCAGTTTCAATCTATTGAAGGAGATGGAGTGGCCTCATGTCAGAGAAAATTAGTGTGAAAATAGCCGTTAAATTCCGATGACTACGAAGTGTCACGAAACGGTGGAAACCATGCGAATGTCAATTTTTGGGCATATGCAGTTATTGGTATCATCTTAAAGTTTGTTTACTAGTCTCGTTTTTGATAAAGTTTTTAAAACTTTCAAGTCATAGAAGTGGAGAAATCTATTTTTTGAGATTGCTTTTGACGGAGATGGGTTGGCCTAGTGTCAGAAATAAATGTATCGTGAAAATGGCCGCCAGAATCCGGCGACTTCCAAAGCGTGATCTTGAAAATCACAAATCTATGTTATCAGCCTGGATCAACGTTTATTTTAACTAACAATCTAAAGGAAGGGGCTTTTTAAAAGGACAGAAAAGGTGCCGAGCTCAAATGAAATCGATAGAAATTGCTGAACGGTCGGGAAAATGCCGACTTTGTTGATTCGTTATTTCGACGAGAATTTAATTTCACTACGCTGAGGCACAAATAACATCTTCAGACAGGACTTGCCTCCTCTTGCAACAGCGCCGGTCTGTGAGTTCAGTGAAGATGCTAACCGTTACACTAATCCGGAGCGCCCCTTCTATAATTTGGGATCATCGTCGCCGTCTAATACACACTTAGACGTAGACCTATCTGTATTACCTGTATTACCTGTCCCGGGCAACAACGTCATTGCACACCGGGCAAGTCCATAAGTGCTCAGTTCCCCCACTGCACCAAAGCCAGCAAGGTATCTATCAATACTGATTGACGTAGACCTTAAAAGTCGAAATTATTTAAATCTGAGCCATATGCACAACACTCAAAACCGTTTCACTGCAACATAAATACCTTGTTCACCCCTTTTGATCCTCTCTTATAAACAGTCCCAAGCACTGGTTATGTAAGCTGGCAATTGGATTGGTAGAATCTACCTAAAAATGTGAGGCTGCAAAGAATGCTTGTTTTTCGCCCCTCGACTTTTTAACAGCTCTGTAATCTGGTCATAATATTATAACTTCCTGGATTCGAAAAGCTAGACAAAAACAGCCAAATTACTAATACAGAATTTGTAAGACTGTCATCTCTGCTTCTTTGCCTTCTGCTTGTGTGCTCAGATCTTTAGTTAAATTCACTGTTATAAAATCTTAAGATAGTTATATACCTCTCCTGCGTTTTAAAGTTATAATTACGCTTTGTCCAAGTTTGGAGTAGGAAAACAATTATTCAATGAGATATTTTCTCGATTATTTTGGAGAGTGAACATACAATATGAATTCAGGATTTGTTTTCTTTTATAACTCAATGATGCGGCCTCGAATAAGAAGTTTTGTTACATGTAAATGTCTTGCTGCTTTGGAAATGTTTTTCTAGTGACGCCTCATTTCTTTCAGGCTCTTTGTCTCCCTTTGATTACCCTTTCTGTCGGCCATTTTTTGGCCGTGTTGAGTTGCTAAAGCCATAAGGTCAAAAACCAAAGTATACTCTATCTGCTCTATCAAAATCATACGGTTATTCGGAGTCCCTATCAACATATTCGAAGAATTGCATTTGAAAAAGCTTGACGTGCTGTAAAAAAACCCAATATATTATGTCAAGTTTCTCAAAACTAGGTACTGAGCAGATAGAATGTTGTAAATCTAAGGTAGCAGGTTCCTATTTTGTGCTGCATTATATTTCGTCAGATTATCTAGACTCGAAGTATACAAAACTATCGAAATACCCGTGTATTTTATAATTGGCTTCTATTACAGATAGGTTGTAAATACCATTGAAACAAAAATACAGTAAATTACAACCCGTGTACATATCCCTCTGTTGTTTCTGTCTAAAAGACCGTTTTTCAACATGAAACTTAATAGCCGTTGTCAAGTCAATATGATTGCCATTGACATAAGTGCATTTTGTTCTGCCCATCACTTTCGATGATGCCTTCGTGAATTACTGTGTCAAATAATATAGTGTGGTTTTCTGTTCTTTAGGCGCCCCCCCCCCCC